GTTTGAACTTTATGGTAACTTGAAACAATCCATGCCAATAATTATATTATTCTTTTTCATAAATTTCACAAAAAAACAAATATGTCATGCACAATGCACTACCCTGCTTATTTAGATCCACCTATTGCATCTTACAAAAATCAATCCCATTAGTTTGTATTACAAACTGCCCAAAAATAAAAAGTTCAACAACCACACATCCCAAATGAATGATGCAATCTAGAACACATATATTGCTTGCCCAATTAAAAATTGGTAATGCTTGTCTAACCACACACCATGCATCTAATTAAGAGATTGATTCATGCTTCTAATCAATTGATATGTCTCACAATTTAATTTGGAAATTCAATACAAAGTGCACCAAAGTTCCATTATGGTGCAACAAAACGCTCAATACAAGCAATTTATGATAACTATCACAAAAGCAAGACAAACATGCATAAACCCACCCAAAAGTTTTTCATGAACAAATGAAATTCGTGCATTTTAATTCCCAGTCCTTCCCTACCCACAACTTCACCAAACAACTCCCGAAATAAAGCAACACAAAACGCTTCATATGCATCATGTAAAAGACTGATATCCTTATGAGGGCAATCCCCCAAAATGCAAACAAAAACACAAAATTAAACACCCACTACTAATTCACAACTTTTAAGCATCCCCTACTCGGTATTCCAAATTTAACACCATAAAACTCAAATTTGGTGCAGCATATTCCCCAACGAAGATTCTACAGAGACCCGAAACCCTACTCCAACACATACAATCACTTAATCAATTTACAAACCCCCCAAAAATTCAAATTCACAACAAATTAAGCCTAAAGCGTTACCTGTTTCATCTATCGATGTCAGCAGAATGGAATTGGTATCCGCCCCCTCTTTCTCTGTCGTTGCACTCTTCTCAATTGCCATACCCACTAGACTTCAAATTGCAGAAGACTACTCCTAGAGCCCATTTAATGGAGGTCTGCAATTTGCCTCTGCGCTTTCTGCTCGAAAGTAGCACCAAATAAGGAATACGCAAGCAGGATTCCTTTTTGGAGAGGGCACGAGTGAATTTTAGAATGGCAAATTTGCCCTTTTGCCCAGCCTTCCCCTATTTTTAAGCACGGTAATTCACACTTACCATGTGCAATATAATAATTACTAACAAGTAATGGTTCAATCACAGCCATCCATTTCACCACATCTAATGCCTCTCCATCATTCTTATTTCTTTCACTAGGAACCTTTCTCACCTGATCTCACCCCTATATATATATATATATATATATATATATATATATATATATATATATATATATATAGATTTTGGTTCTGGTGAGAATGCAATCTTAGGAGAGAAATGAGAATGAATCTGGTACTTTAGATTGTGAGATCTAAGGGTCAAGATTTCATCAAAATTAGATGCACCAAAATGGTTCGAAAATGCATCACGTCAAAATGCACCATAAACCTTCGAAAATGCAATATCTCAAAATCTGAGCGCAGGATGCAATCTGAGCCGCACGATGCATCAAATCTGACGACTAGATTTTATTCTCATTTCTCTCCACAAGGTGTATTCTCACGGGAACCGGCCCCTATATATATATATATATATATATATATATATATATATATATATTTCCTTTTTTTTTCTATATATATATATATATATTGAATTTTTTTAATGCAATATATTTTCTGAATCAAGTAAATATATTTCTAACATGATTTTTTATCATTGGACAAAAACACCAAGGTAGAATAAATAATATTTGAGAAATTGAAAATGTACTCAAAAATGTCTTTTTTAATTCCAAAAATGTTGGCATGAAGAATAAGAAATTAAGTACTACTTTTCACCTTATGAAATAAAGGATAAGACAAATTCATTTACCATTCAACAACCTCGAGCACGGAATAGTGCACTATCTTAAAAGAAAGAATATAATATTTTTTTATGTTTTCCAATAAGTTCGGATAAGTGAAGTTCACTATATTCTTGAGGAATAACTTGTGTCAAGAATTAAGATCTTTAATTATTAGAGCACCAGTTTCATGTATTGTGGAGATATTATAATTTCTTGAGTCTCTAGTTTTACTTGTCAACAACCTCAATGATACATTAGAAGTAGGCTCATTATATATGAAGTCTTACTTCTCAACAGCCTTAATTATACATTAGAAGAAGGCTCATTATCCATGAAGTCTTTAGTTCTTCTAAATATCTGTGTTAAAACATTATGCTCATCTACCATATTTTCAAATCTTTGACCAAACTTTTATCAGTAGTCAAAGAATTATTCTCCCGTGCGAAACAAATAGAACAATTTGTTTTTATTAGCATGTTAATAATGTTCCATGTGTATTATATTGTCAAACACATGTAAATAATACTTTTATTAAAAGGATGTACTTAATAAAGTATTCGAGATACCTAAAATGAGTTATTTGTTTTCATATCTCGTTCTGTATACCATAAATACACAATTGTGTAAATTTTGGTCTTTCACCATATTGTGACATTAAACATGGTATGTGATGATGAATGTGTCCGCTGAGAGTACATTATTGATCAATCATTATTGTAAGATGTATCAATATTTCCATTTATAAATGTTAATGAAAACATACAGCTGTATTTATTTAAATTTTTCATGGTAATGAGAACTCTTCACACTAAGACCATAAAATAATTTATAGAGCAAATCAGATGGTTTTCCTTAGAAGAGACAATTAAACTTTTTCTTTTATGCAATAAATTCGTGGTTGGAAAATTATTGATGATATTTTGAGAAATATGTACTGGAACGTGTTTGCAAAGTACATTCTTTCTTGAACGTGTTTGATGATGCGAGTTTATAGCCAATGATGATCCCTCTCCTTCTGTATTTGTAATAAGAATCATAAAATAAATATTATAATTTTTTATCTAAAAATTTTAAATATTTTTTTATTATCCACTAATATTTATTACATTGATGTCGATGGTTCAATGAATAAATAAGAAAGAATATTACTTACCTATATTATTTTGACATAGATGTCAAAATAATTAGCACATTTTATATTTTTTAAGAATTAAATATAAAAGTAATTACATTTATAACAATAAATATTATACCATTAATATTTCGATTAGGAACACGAATTAATATTTAATTTCTTACACATAAATACTCACTTATCAAGTCTTGATCATTTTACAAAGTTATAAATGGAAATGATAATTTTTGTTACATGTAAATTTTTACAAAGCTATACATGGAAAGCAATAATTTTAAAATGGAAAATACTAATTTTAAAATGGAACATACTTTTTATTTGATTTAGAATTTTTTTATATATACAGAATAAAATTAATGCTCTATTAAATAAGCGTGCCCATAAAAATCCATTTCCTTTTATATATTTGTTTCTTTTTTTAAATAATTAGAAAATCTCTTCCATTAGTATTAATTCAAAGCAAAAAAATCAAATGTAATTTCGTTTAGTCCTACCAATCTTCGTTCTTAAAGTAAATTTATTTGTTTTGATTATAGTTTTTGAATAGGTGTTTTTTTTAAATTTCAAAATATACTATTTAATTTAAATATTTTCCAATAATGAATGGAAATATAAAAGTTTTTAAACGCGATTATATGGAGAAATTTGTGTGTAACAAATATGAAATTTAATTTCCGCATAATAAGTTTTTTTGTTAACTATTTTTTAAACATTACTTACTAACATGGCATGCTGATAAGTTAAAAAAGTTGTCTAATAAGCACGCCACATGTCACAATTCTAGAAGCCCAACCCGTTTGAAATATTGAGGAAGTCGATTTTGATGATGTGGCTGATGAAGTGTCAAAAAAAGTTCCAGTCAGCATGCCAAATGTCGCAATTCTGAGAGTTCAACTCTCAAATATTCTGATTCGAATTAATCCACCAGTTGAGCAAGTGCTTTCTAAGGTTGTGAGGAGGTCTTCTAGCAGGCTCGTTGCTGATGAATGCATAGTCATCCCATATATCATGCAGCTTAGGACAATGGATGAGAGAGTGATCCATTGTGGCAATGTGTCCAAGGCAGAAAGGACAAGGGGAAGGAGAGATAGCCATTTTCAACAATTCATCATGAAAAGGAAGAAGACCATTGAAGGCTCTCCAAGTGAAATATTGAATTTTCCTGGTTTGCCATTTGTTCCAGATGAAAGAGCTACGCTGGACAGGAGCTTGGGTCCGTGAGTAGTGCATGCTGTAAAGGCTTCTTTGAAAGAGAAACTGCCTTTAAGCCAAGTAGTAACCCCATTTGAGCAGGTGGTGTGAAGGAAACCTATGCTGCTACTTTACAGATCTTTTTCCATGTAGAGGAGTCATAAATCATGGCTTTGAATTCTCCATCCCTCATATACTTGTTTCTCATGTAATTGCGCCAGACAGTTCCTCCTTGTTGTACTTTCCACCAAAGTTGAAGTGCAGCAGCAGATTGTATATCTTCAATGCTCCTGAATCCTAGACCTCCTTCTTCAAGAGAGTAACAAAGGTAAGCCCATTTCCTCCAGTGATGTTTGTGTTAAATATATTTACCATATATATTTATGTTAAGTATATTTAATGTATTTATTATTATATCATTGTATTATTGGTAGTTACCTTTTGTATAGGTTTCCTACTTGTATTAGGAGTCCCGTCTTGTCTATATATACGGTTGTACTCCTACACGTTTAATCATCGAAAATATTCATTCTTCATGGTATCAGAGCCTATTCCAAAACCCTAACTCTCTCCTCCTGCTCTCGGCTCTTCTCTCTCGGCGCTGCTCTCTCTCTCTCGGCTTCTCTGCCGTAGCAGCCCCACCCTCCTCCTCCGTCGTCCGCCTTTCTCTCTCGTCCTTATGGACTCCTCCGACAAGACGACGGACAAATCTCCCTCCTCCTCCACCACCTCCTCAAATTCTCCCCACTTGGCGTTCACGGCCATATCTAACGTGAAACTTCACGTCCCCATACAGTTGAGTTTTTGTCAACCTAATTACAAAAAGTGGTGCCGTATCTTCTTGCTCCTTGTTCGACGATTCAATCTCCATGGGTTTCTTGACGGCTCTAAGATCCCCTCTTCCGCCGCCGACGACGAATGGTTTCAACTAGATGCTTTGCTTCAAGGATGGATCCTCTCTACGGTGACCGATGAGGTCTCCGATTTGGTCATCTCCTCCACCTCAACGGCCTCCGGACTTTGACGGGTAATTCATTATCTCTTCCACGACAACAAACCGGCTCGGGCCATGCAATTGGAACACCAATTCCGCACTACGGTCAAAGGAACTATGCCCATGGCCACATATTGTCAAACTCTCCGGAACATCGCCGATTGGCTAGATGACGTCAACGCCCCAGTCTCCGAATCACAGCTGGTGCTCCAACTCTTACGGGGTTTACCGGACGATCTCCAAGCCCAAACATCTTGGATGCAATTTCAACAGCCCCAACCCAATTTTCTCCAAGTCCAGTCGGTGTTATTGCTTCTTGAACGTCAACGCTCACACTCGGTTGAGACTGGGACAGCCCTCGTCGCAGGCCGAACCGGCGGCCAGCCGGGTCCGAACCAGCAGCAGGAGCCGCATGGCCGAACCAGCGGCATGGCAGAACCGGCGGGAAACCGTGGCTACCCTGGCCGTGGTGGTGGCGGTCGCGGTGGTCACGGGCGAGGACGTGGGAGAGGCCGAAACTTTGGCGGGCAGCGACACTCGGAAGGCTACGGATCCTAGAACTCACCGAACCAAAACCCTAACCCTACCCCGGGTCTTCTCGGCCCTCGCCCCACACCCTACACCTACCCTAATGCCTTTGCCCATTATTCCTACTCCAACCCACCCCAACCCCACCCCACCCTCCCCACCCCAGCCCCGTACTACCCCTACCCGACAGGCACCCCTGCCCCGGCACCCTACCCTCCCCCATCACCTACCCGCAGGCACCCCCTACCCCCACAGCCCTAGCACACAACTTCGACACCATGTCCTTGCGGGAACCCACATGGCTTATGGACACCGGGGCATCTCACCATATTGCATCCGACTCAGGTACTATTTCTCATGTCTCTTCTCATTCATTACATTCACCTATTTATATTACTGTTGGTAACGGATCTAAGGTTAGCACTACGGCTGTTGGTCACCATTTTTTTCCCACTAACCCCCCTTTATCCCTTAAAAATGTCCTTATCTCCCCCATATCATACACAACCTTATATCTGTCCATAAATTTACCCATGACAATAACTACTCTATTGAATTTGATGCTCATGGTTTTTCTGTGAAGGACCGTCGGACGGGAACCGTGATACATCGATCCAATAATGCCGGCCCAGTCTATCCCCTGCGCCCCACTGCACCAGCCCAAGCACTCAGCGCGTCCGTTGACGTTCAAACATGGCACCGACGCCTGGGTCCCAGTCCAGCAGTCCTCCGTGGAGTCTCGAGTCTTTCTAATTTGTTTAAATTTTCAAGTCAAAGTCTTTGTCATGCGTGTCAACTGGGAAAACATGTTCGTCTCCCATTTTATCAGTCCTGTCGTGTCTCTACTTTTCCATTTGAATTATTACATACAGGTTTATGGCAATCTCCCGTTCCAAGTGTTACTGGTTTTAAGCATTACATGTTATTGTTGGATGATTATTCGCATTATTTATGGGTTTTTCCTTTAAAACAAAAATCTGATGCCTTTAATCATCTTAATTTTTTCATTAAATATGTTCAAAACCATTTTAACACTACTATTAAATCTGTTCAATGTGACAACGGTACAGAATACCGTAACTCCCCCCTCCAAAATATTTTTGCCTCCTTGGGTATCTTATTC